CCACATTTGTTCATTTGACACCTCCAACTTCTGTTTATAAAGGGATTCTATTCCCAGATGCCTTAAAGAGAAAGGATTATCCACCAGGATAATCAACACACGCTCCCAAGGGAAAAATCAGGGCCCATGAGCACAGTTTGGAGATTAAAGTCTTAAAAATTCCATGTCCAGCTAATCCTGGATAGGTCCAGCCCAGCTGATGTTGCTGACAGTGTTGTCACCCCCCAAAGCACAGCACCCCTCATGGAGCTGGTTGTAATCAACATTCCCTGAACTTTGGGATTAAATGATGCTGTTTGTGGGGTTTTTTGCAGGAATTTGGGCCAGGCCCATGGGGGGAATTGTCTGGGTCCAAAAACAGCCACTGGCACTGGAGAGGAGGGGAAGGAGAGGAATTATTTCTGTCTGAGCTGTGTGAAATGGAAAATGGGGGTTTGGAGGGAGATTTTGGGGTGTGGGGGAAGGTGTGGTTGTGGTGAATTAGAGATGGAGCAGCTCTGCTGGGAGGAAAGGTGAGGGAACTGGGAATGTTCACCTGGAGAGGAGAAGGCTCCAGGGAGAGCTCAGAGCCTGAAGGGGCCCAGGAGAGCTGGAGAGGGACTGGGGACAAGGGATGGAGGGACAGGACACAGGGAATGGCTCCCACTGGGAAAGGGGAGATGTGGGTGGGATATTGGGGAGGAATGAGGGTGGGGAGGGGCTGGGATGGAATTCCCTTGATCCCTGAAGTGTCCAAGACCACCCTGGGACAATGGGAGGTGTCCCTGCCCTGGCAGGGGTGGCACTGGATGGGATTTCAGGTCCTTCCATCCCAACCATCCCAGGATTCCCTGACTGCTCCTTTACTCCCTGACCTGGCTTTATCAAATAATTCCTCTCTCCTTACAAAACAAATCGTATTTTCATTTTTTGCTAAAAAAATGCTGTAAAACACATCTGATCCTGCCCAATTCCCCTTCCAACAACCCCACCCCTGTCCCTCCACCCCTCCCAGGTGGTGATCAACCCCAACTACGAGGTGGCAGAGTCGGATTATTCCAACAACGTCATGAAATGCCGGAGCCGCTACGACGGGCAGCGCATCTGGATGTACAACTGCCACATAGGTGAGGGCTGGGAATCCTCAGGCACGCCCCAAGGATTCCTCTCAGACAAGGAATTTAATGCTTTCCCCCCCTGAAAAGCTCTGGTGCAATCCCAGTGTCCTGGGAAATTCCTTCTTCCAAAAAATCAAATTATTTTGCCAAGCTGGGATCTCTTCGGATCACAAACTTCTCTTGGAAAACAAATGAAGCAGTGGGAAAGAGCCTGCTGTAGGAGGCAGGAATTAAAGTGTCCCTGGAATGTCAGGGGAATCTCTGTTTTCCTGGAAAAATTTAAAATATTATCATTTGGTATTTTTCTGTTTGGTCGTGGAAATATCAAAGCCAAACTCATTTAAATTTGGTTTATTCCATTGTCAAAACCATTGAAAATGGAATTAACTTGGGGGCTTTTCAGGACTGTTTTTACCACAGAAAATGAATTCACACAACTCCCTGCCCAGCTCCAACTAAAACCAGCTTTGAAAATTCTCTTTTTCAAGGAATGTTTTTTTCTGGGGAAAAAAAAAAAAAAAAAAAAATCCAGATTTTTCTCATTATTTTGTTGGGATTTTAGCAGAAAATTCTCATTTTGTGTGTCACATTTCAGACTGTGACCTAGTTCAGGAAAGTGAAGCCCATTCCAGCTGCTGCTTGGGCTCTGCAGCTGAGCTGGGAGATAATTCTGGTTAAAAATAAAGGTTTTAACTTTCACTTTGTCCTAATTAGAGAGAAGCTGGGTTTGTTTCTGGTTCAGAGCAGAGCCCTCACACCCTCACAGGCCTTGCTGGGCCTCACTTTATTTTTTAAGCACCAAACCAGAGACATTTGGGTAATTCAGTCTTGCAAATCCACATCCAGCCCTCCTGGGGACTCCTGGCTGTGCCAGTTGGGGCAAGATTTAATTAAAACTTCATTTAATTAACCCAAACCTTTAAGCCCTGCATTTCCAGGGCACTGGTTCCACCCAATCCCTTTTCCCTCTCCCAGTATTCCAAGGGTTTTTCCCTGCTCACCCTGTGCTTTCCTGGTGTTCCCAAGTGGTTTTCCCATTACTTTCCCAATGTTCCCAAGTCCTTTTCCCTCTCCCAGTGTTCCCAAATCCTTTTCCCTGCTCACCCCATGCTCTCCTGGTGTTCCTGAGTGCTTTTCCTGTGTTCTCCAGGGTTTTTCCTGTGCTCTCCCCATGTTCCCAAGAGCTTTTCCCTCTCCCAGTGTTCCCAACAGTTTTTCCCATGCTCTCCCAGTGTTCCCAAGGGTTTTTCCCTCTCCGGGTGTTCCCAAGGGTTTTTCCCCCTTCTGGAGTCCCCAGTTTTTCCCTATGCTCTCCCCCTGTTCCCAAGTGTTTTTCCTGTGCTCTCCTGGTGATCCCAAGTGTTTTTCCCTGCTCCTGCTCACCCCGTGCTCTCCCAATATTCCCAAGGGTTTTTTCCATGCTCTCCCCATTTTCCAAAGGCTTTTCCCTCTCCTGTTGTTCCCAAGTGCTTCTCCCTCTCCCAGTATTCCCAAGTGTTTTCCCTGTGCTCTCCCCGTGTTCCCAAGAGTTTTTTCCATGCTCTCCCCCGTGTTCCCAAGTTTTTCCTTCTCCTGCTGTTCCCAAGCACTTTTCCCTGTTCACCCTGCACTTTCCCAGTATTCCCAAGAGCTTTTCCCAAGTTTTCTTGGCATTACCAAGTGTTTTTCCCTCTCCCCCTGTTCCCAAGGGTTTTGCCCTCTCCCAGTGTTCCCAAGTGCTTTCCCGTGCTCTCCCAGTGTTCCCAATGCTTTCCTGTGCTCTCCCAGTGTTCCCAAGGGTTGTTCCCCCTCCCCACGCTCCCGAGTGTTTTCCCCATTCTCTCCTGCTGATCCCAAGGGTTTTCCCCATGCTCTCCCAGCGATCCCAAGCCTATTTCCCTTTCCTGGTTTTCCCCAGTGTTTTTCCCACCCTCTCCCAGCATTCCCACTGCTTTTCCCTCTCCTGCTGACCCCTGCTCTCCCCGTGGCCTCTCCAGGTGGTTCCTTCAGCGAGGAGACGGAGCAGAAGTTCGAGCACTTCAGGGGACTCACAAATAACAACGTGTCTGCCCGGTAGAATTCCCACTAATTTAAGGAAGCCAGGACTCCTGCTCCGGCCCTTCCCGAACCACTGCACCCCAGGAAATGGAGCCTCCACCAAACTCTGAATTTCAGGTGAATCATTCCTGAAGAAGCCTCTCCCTCCCCAGTTTAGGTGCTCAGGCCACCCCTCGGTGCCTTCCTGCAATTCCAGCTCTCCTCAGCTCCAGCTCTTCACCATTCCAAAGATTTCTCCCACATTTTGCAGCACTCCTCGCCTCAGGTTGGGTGCCAGCCACCCAAAAGTGCCTTTATCCTTCATTTCCAAGGCATTATTTGGGAATTTTCAGCTCTTTTCCACTCCCCATGCCTGTTTGTGCTGCTGCTTCCTGCACTCCTCCTCAGCACTGACTCCAGATTAGCAAGGAAATAGAAAGAAAGGAAAAATTAAAAAAAAAAAAAATAGGAAAAAAAAAAAAGGAGCAGCTTTTTGTGAGCAGAACAGTGTAAAGCTGAATTTAATACTGCAGTGAAACGCTTGGATCCAACAACGGCCACGCTCCGGAGGGGAGCAGAACGTGGAATTTCACAGGGAATTTCACAGGGAATCTCACATGGAATCTCACAGGAAATCTCACAGGAAATCTCACAGGGAATCTGACCATGGAATCTGACCATGGAATCTCACAGGAAATCTGACCATGGAATCTGACCATGGAATCTCACAGGAAATCTGACCATGGAATCTGACCATGGAATCTGACCATGGAATCTCACCATGAAATCAAAGCTCCCTGAAGTGACCCAGAACTCAGCGGATTCCCAGGGATGAGGCCTCTGAGCTGGAAATTCCCATCCCACAGGGATCCTCCACCCACCAGGTGCTGTGCCCATCCAAGAATCACCTCCTGACTGGATATTCCATCTTTTTTTTCAAGGATGAATGATCCTTGTGCACCTTGCAGAGGGAATTTGTGCCTCTCATCCCCAGGGATCTGCTCCTGTGGGAATTCCCGGTGCTCCTCTGTTTGTTTGAGGACACGCTTTGCTACAGAGCTCCAATAAAATCCATTTCCCTGGAAACAAAAAATCACTTTAGAAGCCCTTGGTGTATTTCTCCTCACAATTCCTGGAAGTTTGGGAGTTTTCCCCCCTCTTCTACAATCAAAGTTACCTGGAATTCCAGCTGATTCCACAGGGAATTCCAAGTGGCTGCAAACTTCCCCCAAACCCCACCTCACAGGGATGCTGTGAGGCTTCAAAATGCAGAAATATTTTGAGTATTTGTCATTTCTCCAGTGCCCCAGAGGGCGGCTGGCAAAGGGTTTTAACCCCTGGCAATTGGAAAATTCCAGTTATTCCTCAGAATTCCAGACTGCAGCACGAGCAGAGCCTGGGATGGGGGTGGAAGCTCACTTTAAACCCAGCTCTGGGCACATCAGCACAAATCTGGAGGTTTTTTCCCCCCTAATGAGCAGATCCCAACTTTCCTCACCAACAGGGAAGTTCAGGCTCTTGAAACTCTGTAAATAAGTAAGAAATTCCCTAAAGCTTGGATTCACTGCCTGGCAGTTTTCTGGGATATATGAACAGCAACATTACAACAAACGTGGAACAGATTTTTGAACTCCTGCCCTTGCTTAGAGTTGAATTTTGGCCCAAAAAAATCCCAATTTTCTGACTCTTAATGCCTATTTTTTGTTGGAAAACAGAGCAGGAACAAGGAATAAAGAAATCACCTCGTTCCTGCAGGTGCCCCAGCTGCTTTGAAACACCCAACAAAGAATCCCAGCACTTCCCAGGGCTCCAAAAAAACCCCAACAAGAATTCCCATTCCCAACTCTCCCAAGCTGATCCCTAAGGGAACGCCCCCGTGGCGCTGCCTGCTCTGCATGCATTTAATAGCACAGCCATGCTCATCTTTACAGCCTTTTTTGGGTTTTTTTGGGATTATTCCTCCTGATCCAAGGATTCTGCCTGGAAAACTTCAGTCCCTGTGGCCTCGTGCTGCCTGTGCCTCCAGCCCAGGGCGTGGGACACGAGTCTCCTGGCCACCGCCGTGTCCGTCTGCGGCCTCTCCTTCCCCAGCTGGAGCAGTTCTGGGGAAAAACGGGAAAAATTCACCCAGGGAGAAATTCCTGGTTAAATCCCAAAAATCAGCTTTTTTCCCTGCTGTTTTATTCGTTTACTGACATGAAATCTTTCTGGTCTCGGTGAATAAATTGGGGTTTTTTTTCAGGATGATGGAATTCCACATTTTACATTTTCTGTTGTTTGGTCACCATAAAGGTTCAGGGTTCTGCTGCTGTGGGGAAAATTGTTCCCCATCCTCTCCCAGGAATTATTCCTGGCAAAATTCCCAGCATCCCATCCCTGTGAACTGACAAAATTCCCAACATCCCATCCCTGTGAATTGACAAAATTCCCAGCATCCCATCCCTGTAAACTGACAATATTCCCAACATGCCATCCCTTTCCATGCCTGGAAACACCCAGGCAATTTATCCATTTATCCAATTGAAACTCCTCGAAGCAGCTGCCAAAATCCTTGGAAAACAGCAAGGAAAATAAAAAAAAATCTGCATTTTCAATTATATCCAAATATTTCAGATGATTTGGGAAGCCCCATGGTCAGTGCCCTCCATTTCTTGGATTGCTGCAATTCCATCTGCAAGGAAATCCACCAAAATTTCACCACCTCCACAATAATTTGGATATGGGGATTCCTTAATTAATTAATTTTTATCAATTTGTAGTTGTTATTTACACAGCAAGGGGGGGCTTTGTTTTTCCAGAAGTTTCATTCATTAAGGGGAAAAAAAATTCATTAAATTTTTTTTTTAAAAGAGACACTGTCAGCTAATAAAAATCCAAATTTGTGTTTGGAAAATAATCAATTGAAAGTGGACACCGACAGAATTTATGTTTAATTACTACATTAAATTATTAATTAAATAATAAATTAATTCTATTTTCATTTAACCTGATTCAGAATAGTGAATAAATTTAAAAAAAAAACCAAACAGATGAAGGGGAGATGCAAATAAAGCAAATTTTGGATGTTTCCTTTAAACGCAGCAGTGCTGAAACTCAGGAATTTGTCACTGTGACAGTGTCCCTTTAAAGCATTCAAATTGAATTTATTCTGACTGCAGTGAGCTGGAAAATGCCAGGAATTGTTGGTTCAGAGTCTCTGCTGCTGCTGAGGTTCATGGCTTTGCTTTCCTGTGGCAACTGGACCTGATCAATGTGATTGAAAGGCAATGAAATCGATCAATCAATCAATCAATGGTAATCAATCAACTGATGATCATGGCTCAGCTTCACCATTTCTCCTTCCTGAATAAAATTATGCCAACCACGAGATTGGGTTTGTTTCCTTTGGATTGCCAGGGGGAGAGGGAAGAGAAAATTCCTGGGGAATTTGATGGCTTTGCCTGCCAAAAAATCCAAATTCCAGCACAACCCTTCCCTTCCAAAAGAGCAGCAAATTACACCCAAAAAAATAAAATTCACTCTGAATTCCAGCAAAATTCCACACCACAGCTCAGTGCCAGGAAATCCATTAAAAACCCCATCAGAAAAATAATTGATCCTGTCATCTGGACTGGTGAGGAGTGGGAAATCAAGAGAGGTGGGCTGAATTTAGGGAATTCTGCCTTACTTGGCCTCTGGAGTGCCTTGACCTTGGCCTGTCTGCTGGCGTGGATCAGGGGCCGGATCTTCAGGCAGGGGTAACGGCGGCCCAGGGCCTGGGACGCTGCAGGGACACAGAAACCTGGGATTATTTAGTATAGAAAAAAGGAGTTTAGTATGGAAAATTTTAGTATGGAAGAAAAAGTTTATCATGGAAGAAAATGGTTAGGATGGAGGAAAAAGTTTAATAGGAAAGGAAAAGTTTATTATGGAGGAAAAAGTTCAGTATGGAGGAAAAAGCTTAGGATGGGAAAAAAAGTTTAAGATGGGAAAAAAAGTTTAGGATGGAGGAAAAAATTTAGTGTGGAAGAAAATGTTTAGGGTGGAGGGAAAAGTTTAGGATGGAAAAAAAAGGTTCAGTATGGAGGAAAAAGTGGTTAGTGTGGAAGAAAAAGTTTAGTGTGGAAGAAAATGTTTAGGATAGAGGAAAAAGTTTAGGATGGAAAAAACGGTTGGTGTGGAAGAAAAAGTTTAGGATGGGAAAAAATTGAGTGTGGAGGACAAAGTTTAGGATGGAGGAAAAAGTTTAAAGTGGAAAGAAAAGTTTAACATGGAAAAAGTTTAGTGTGGAGGAAAATGTTTAGTGTGGAGGAAAAAGTTTAGTGTGGAAAGAAAAGTTTAGTGGAAAAAAAAAAGTTTAGCATGGAAAAAATTTAGTATGGAGGAAAAGTTTAGTATTGAAGAAGTTTAGGATGGAAAAAAGTTTAGGATGGAAAAAAGTTTAGGATGGAGGAAAAAGTTTAGGATGGAGGAAAAAGTTTAGGATGGAGGAAGTTTAATCAGAGAAAAATAAACAACCTAAACTGGAAAACCAACAATCCCATCCATCCCTCGTTCCTAACACAAAAATCTTTAAAGATCTCAAAAAAAACACAAATAAAGTTTCCACAAAGGTACAAAAATCCCATCCACCCCTCGTTCCTAACACAAAACCCTTCTAAGATCTCCCCATCACAAAAAACCCCCAGAAAGCACAAAAGCACTCAGTGATCTCAGCAGCTGCTCCAGGCTGGGGCTGACCCAGCTGAAGTCACGGTGGGAGCCTCAGGAGGAATCCCAAAAAATAGGAAAAAATGGGTTTTTAAAAGAGTTTTGGCACTTTGAGAGGAAATCCCAAACAAAAGAGCAGAAGCTGAGGGGAGAGGAACCCCTTCCTCCAGGGCTGGCTGCACTTGGGGCGTTTGTCCTCCCAAAAAAATGACTTTATCCAGATTTTGGTGCCATCCCCCTCCCTGGGAGGTGACTGCATGTTCACTGGATTTTTTTCAAGTCATGAAAGACAAAAAATGGAAAAAAAAAAAAAGTGAAAAGCCACTTTATTATCATTATTATAATTAGTCATTTCTAAGAGTGCACTCAGCTGCATCCAAGGCATTTAAAAATCAGTTTGCATATCCCATCCCAGAAATTCCAGCTTCCCAAACCCTCCCAGGATGGAAAGGAACAGGAAAAAAAATTAAAATAAAATTTAAAACTCTAAAATATAAAAAAATAGAATATAAAAAAATTTAAAAAGTAAAATTAAGTAACAATTTAAATAAAATATAATAAAATATAAAAATATAAAAATAAAATATAAAAAGTAAAATATAGAAAATAAAATATAAAAATATTTTAAAATATCAATTTAAATAAAATATAATAAGATAAAAATTAAAATAAAACACAAAAATAGAAAAAATACAAAATATAAAAATATGTAAGAAATTAAAATAGAATAAAATAGAATAGAATAGAATGAAACAGAATAGAATGAAACAGAATAGAATGAAACAGAATAGAATAGAATTGAATAAAATAGAATAGAATAAAATAGAATAGAATAAAATAGACTAGAATAAAATAAAAAACTGTAAAATAAAAAATATAAAATAAAATTTAAAAAATAAAATAAAACAATAAAATAAAAAAATAAAAATAAATTTAAATTAAATTAAAATAAATTAATAAAAAATAAAATAAAATAAAATAAAATAAAATAAATCAAATCTCAGGGCACTGGGCAGGGGCTGGGGAGCTCTGGGCTGCCTCAGCCCCACCCCAAATACCTGTGGAGAGGCTGGAGAAGATTCCCAGGGCATGGGTATCATCCACCCACTGGATTTTGAAGCCACTCTCGCTGCAAGAAAAGAGAATAATTTCAATTAATGTCGAGAAAAACGAAGCCCAAATAAAACCCAGCAGCCCAGGAGGGGTTTTCAGAGGTTCCTGGAGCTTCCCAAAGCATTATTCCCATTTTAAATGGGGAAAGGGCAGGAAAAGAAGGAAAAAAAAAAGCCATTAAATGTGCCCTGCTCGAGGCCACGACGTGGAATTGCCCCAGAATTCTCCTTTTTGTCTCAAACCCAGCCTCAGTTTCAGGGACTGGCTTCTGGCACCAAAATATTGCCATTTTTCAAGTGCTCCCCAGGCATAAAAATAAAAAGCAAGGGATTTGTGAAGCGATTTTGGGGTGGAATCTCATAAAGAGTCAGTGGAAAATGGGAATTTGAGAGCAGGAATTCCAAAATATTCCAAAATATTCCAATCCATGCTCCACTGGATCTGTCCTTTTCCAGCTCTGCTTCACTCCCAGAGAGTGGAAAAGAAATCTGAGGAAGCACACACAATGCAGGAAGAATTATTTAAATATTATTAAAATATAAATTTAAACCATTAAATACAAATTATTCTTTCAAAGAATAATTTAAATATCATTTTCAAATGTAGTTTATTTGGTTTAATTGCTCTGTAGAAGGAAATTTCCCATCTAATCCAGGAATTATCCCAAGAGAGGGGGAGGAAAACAGGAGAGGAGCTCAGAGCTGCCCTCACTGGACAATTATTTAAAACATAGTTTGAAATGATAATATCATTTTAAAATGTAATTTATTGGCTTTAATTGAAGGGATCTGAAGAGGGAATTCTCACATCTAATCCAGGAATTATCCCAAAAAAGGGAGAGGAAAACAAGAGAGGAACTCAGAGCTGGACCCAGATCTGCCCTCACTGAAGAATTATTTAAAATATAGTTGTAAATAATAATTTAAATCTAATTTTGAAATGTTATTTATTCATTTGGTTTAATTGATCTGCAGAGGGAATTTTCCCATCTAATCCAGGGATTATCTCAAAAGAGGGGGAAGAAAACAGGAGATGAACTCAGCTCTGCTCTCACTGAAGAATGATTTAAAATGTAATTTTAAAAAATAATTTCATTTTTAAATGTAGTTTATTTGGTTTAATTGAAGGGGTCTGTAGAGGGAATTTCCCCATCTAATCCAGGAATTATCCAAGAGAGGAAAACAGGGAAAGGTGCCTTTTACAGGAGCTCAGAGCTGGACCCAGCTGGGCCCTCACTCTCTAATCCAAGCTCATTCCCTGGATTTCCCCAATCCCATCCCCAGGACTGAGCCCTTCTCGGAACCTCCGATGGAATCACCCAGGAACCAACAAAAATATCCCCAAAAAAGCACCAAATATCTCCACCTGGATGGAGCCAGGCCAGGCCTGGCTGTGGGGAACAGGCCAGAGCCCTGGGGTAAAGCTGGGCTTTAGACCAGGCCTAAACTGCAGGAAAAGCCAAGGGGAAAATGAAATTAAAATTCAGAATTTGGGTGCTAGAGTCCTGGGGTAAGGCTGGGCTTTAGACCAGGCCTAAACTGCAGGAAAAGCCAAGGGGAAAATTAAATTAAAATTCAGAATTTGGGTGCCAGAAACGTGAGTAAAGCTGGCCTTTATACCAGGCCTAAACTGCAGGAAAAGCCAAGGGGAAAGTAAAACTAAAATTCAGAATTTGGGTGCTAGAGCCCTGGGGTAAAGCTGGGCTTTAAACCAGGCCTAAACTGCAGGAAAAGCCCCTTTGAGGCACACAGAGAAGGGAAGCTGAAAATAAAATTCAGAATTTGGGTGCCAGAAATGTGGAGTAAAGCTGGGCTTTAAACCAAGCCTAAACTGCAGGAAAAGCCAAGGGGAAAATGAAATTAAAATTCAGAATTTGGGTGCCAGAAATGTGGAGTAAGGCTGGGCTTTAGACCAGGCCTAAACTGCAGGAAAAGCCCCTTTGAGGCACACAGAGAAGGGAAGCTGAAAATAAAATTCAGAATTTGGGTGCCAGAAATGTGGAGTAAAGCTGGGCTTTAAACCAGGCCTAAACTGCAGGAAAAGCCCCTTTGAGGCACACAGAGTGAAACTAAAAGTCAGAATTTTGTAGCCAGAAATGTGGAGTAAAGCTGGGCTTTAGACCAGGACTAAACTACAGGAAAAGCCAAGGGGAAAATGAAATTAAAATTCAGAATTTGGGTGCCAGAAATGTGGAGTAAAGCTGGGCTTTAGACCAGGACTAAACTACAGGAAAAGCCAAGGGGAAAATGAAATTAAAATTCAGACTTTGGGTGCCAGAAACGTGAGTAAAGCTGGCCTTTAGACCAGGCCTAAACTGCAGGAAAAGCCCCTCTGAGGCACACAGAGAGGGGAAGCTGAAAATAAAATTCAGAATTTTGTAGCCAGAAACGTGAGTAAAGCTGGGCTTTAAACCAAGCCTAAACTGCAGGCCAAGCCCCTCTGAGGCACACGGAGTGAAACCAAAGCTCAGAATTCCGTGGGCAGTCCCCGGCTGCCGCGCTCCCTGCCCTGCTCAGTTACTCACTGGAAATCCGAGAACATTCCCATCAGATCCTCGGTTTTCAGGGACGAGGGGAAGTCGTAGATCTCGGTGACGTGGCCCAAGTCCCCCTCGCTGAGCTGGGCCTCTCCGTGGCCGGGATAATCCACGCTGATCCTCTCGACGCTGATGTCCTTCACCGTCAAATTCCCAACGATCTGGGGAGACCCGAACCGAGGATCAGAACATCCGACAAGGAGCCAGGCTCCAGTTTGATCCCCCGATCCTCACCTCGGCCAGCCAGCCCCACCCAGGACACGGAATCTCCTCCCAGGGAGCGACTCCTTGTCCCCTTTTCCCAGATTTTCCCTCAATCACCTCTGCCAGGAGCTCTGCTGTGCAGTCGTCCTCGAGGCCGCTCTGCCGTGTCCCCTCTCTGTCCCCCGCAGCCAAATCCAGGCCCCGGCACAGCGCCTCGGCCACGTCCGAGCGCTCCTCGTCCTCCTCTTCCTCCTTCCCGCCGCGGATCCGCCCCGGAGCGCCGGGATCGCCACCGTGGAGCGCCTCAGGAGCAGCCAGAGCCTCACGTGGGCCTTCCAGAACCTTCTGCGGGGCCTGCTGCTCCACCTGCCCAGCGCTGGGGCTCTCCCGCGTGGAAACAGCCCGGCCTCCCTCGGAATTCCGGGAATCCTGCTCTCCAGGGGGGGACTGGCTCCTGCTGCCCTCCGGGGTCTGCGTTTCCAGGACTGGGGGGTCAGTCACAGCCCGGTCTGCCATGGCTGGGTCTGTCCTGCTGCCACCACGGTTTTCCAAAGGGACGGAGCTTCTCCCACACTCCGACCCTCCGGAATCCCGGCCGGATTGGTTCTCCTCTTGCAGCTGGCCCTGGAATTCGCTGCCTTCTGGAATGGTGGTGCTGGCGTGGCTTGACTCTTCCTCTCCTGCCTCGGCTGGGTGTTTGTTGAGCGCAGAAGACGGGGAATGGGAACAGTCTTTATCCCGACTTCCCTGCTCACAGGGATCGCCGCTGTTCCCTAAGGATGGCACCTTCTCCTCACACAGAGGATGCTCAGCGCTGCCTTTTCCCGGGACCTGCTCTTCCTTCCCAGGGCTGCCTCCACCCTCGCCCAGCTCCCGCTGGGTGTCCCCGATGGAATTTCTGGGGCAGTTTTCACCTCCTGGAGCCGCGTCCCCGTCGGGCTCCGCCCCGGGGCTCTCCCGCTCCCTCCAATTCGCCTTTTTCCGGATCCCTTTGGGCACGTACAGGGCTTTGTCTGGCTTCTTCCTGGGCGGCCTGGTGATCCTGCCCGAGCCCACGGAGGCGCGGGGGCTGTCCCCGTGGGTGTCCCCGGCGTGGCGCGGCCGGGACCCCCGGCCCCCCCGGCCCCAGGGCTGCGCCGGGCGCTGCGGCCGAGCGGGGTTGGTCCCGGCTTTTTGGTCGTTTGAGGTCTCGTTGGGAAGCCTGGGAAGGAGGGGATGGTGAGAGGGGAGCAGGGGAAGCCCAGGGACGTGGGGTTTGCCAGAGAAGAGCATCAAATTGCCAAAGGGAAAATCCCGCTGTTCCTTAGGGTCTGGGAGGTGCCATTGGTAATGGAGACCTTAAATGGGACACTGTGACTGTGTGCTTGATCCGAGGGCTGGAGCCCCTCTGGAGCCAGGCTGAGAGAGCTGGGAATGCTCCAGGGGCTCCAGAGAGACCTCAGAGTGCCTTCCAGAGCCTGAAGGGGATCCAGGAGAGCTGGAGAGGGACTGGGGACAGGAGATGGAGGGACAGGACACAGGGAATGGCTTCCACTGCCAGAGGGCAGGGATGGATGGGAGATTGGGAGGGTGAGGGGCTGGGATGGAATTACTAGAGCAGGTGGGGTGGCCCCTGGATCCCTGGAGGCGTCCAAGGCCAGGCTGGACAGGGCTTGGAGCAGCCTGGGACAGTGGGACGTGCCCCCAGAAGGTGACAAAGAGTTGCACTGGGATCAGTTTCAGGTCCCTCCCAAACCATTCCAGGATTCCACGATCGTTGTCAGCCCTGACCCAATGGATCACAGCTCACCTGACAGCCGAGTGACAAATGACCGTCCTCCTCCTCCAGCCCTCTCCCACCGAGAAGCTGCTCAGCAATTCCATGTTTTCCACAGTCCGGTGGATCAGGTACCTGAGGCGGCTGGACAGGGGTGGGAACAGGAGCACTCTGAAAGGAGAGAGGGCTCAAGGCATCAGAAATGTGCAGGAAGGGATGGGAATGATGGAAAAATGCAATAACCTCATGTCTGAGTCCTTCCCAGCACGGGATTTAAATCAGAAAAAAGCCAAGCAGGACTTGATGATATTAAAGAGCACAAATGTCTTCCCAGATTTGCAGCCAGACACATTTTACACATCAAATGGAGTGTGTGTGGGGAGGCTGGAAATGCCTGACCCCAAGGCCTTGGCCTGGACCCCAATTCCTGCTGTATCCAGATGGGAAAGGCTGGGAAGCACCAGCAGAAAGCTGCGACTGACCCCCTCCCTCCCAGGCTGAGTCTAATTTCATTTCTCTCTCAACAATATCTATCTCATGCTATAACCCTTCTAAATCAGTATTTTTGTCAAAATTTGTAGACAAATATATACTATATAAACCTTCTATCAAACTTTAAAATTTCTCTACAAATCCAGTTCCCACACGGAAACCAGGAATGAACCAAGGATGGATAAATAAACTCCAAGTTCAATGTCACTGCTGTCACACGGTTTGTCCCCGAGCGTTTGACAACGGCACAGGGAATTTCTTTGCCAAACACTTTATTAAGAAAAAAAAGCACTGAAACAAATATTTAAGGTCACGACAAGCTGGCAGGGAGCCGAGCTCAGCATTGCCACCCCTGCTCCTGTGCAGCACCCTGGCACTGGCCACCTCAAGGGCTCCAAAGGTCACCGCACTGGGAACAGACCCAGGTGAGCCCAGGATGAGCAAAAGCCACCAATGGCCACAAACCCCTGCTTGAAGACATGACCTGGGGAGGGGATCCCACACACACCCAGCACTGCAGCTCCACAGCCAGACCCCAAACGCTGCTGCTTTCACCCCAAAAAGCGATGCAAAGCCCGAGCCCAAGGTCCCCAGGTGTCCCTGAGCTCCCATCGCCCGGGGCAGCCGGGCGGGCACCCACCGCTGGTGCTGGCCCTGCACCATGAAGTGCTCCAGCTCCTCCGCGATCCTGCCCACGAACTCATCCTCGCTGGGCGACAGGAAAACGCCATCCATGGAGCGCAGCGCCAGAGAGGCCTGCCGAGGGACAGGGCACACGTGGAGACAGGGACAGAGCACACGTGGAGGGACAGGGATAGCCACGACCCCTCACCCATGGGTGCCCAGCACCCCCTACAAATCTCACCCGCCCCTGTGCTGGCTCCGTCTGCACCCCGATATCCCCCATCGCTGGGCATCCCAAAACCCCCATCGCAGGGCATCCCAAAATCCCCCTGCCCTGGCCATCCCAAAACCCCCCTGCCCTGGCCATCCCAAAACCCCCCTACCCTGGCCATCCCAAAACCCCCCTGCCCTGGCCATCCCCAGCATCTCTGCACTGCGTTATCCCCCTTTCCCGGACACCCCCATCCCGCTCTCTGCATGCCCCTGCCCCCCCCTTCTCCCAGCGCACCCACAGCGCCACGTGCTGCCTCCTGTCCCCGCCACCATCATCATCACCACCACCACCCCACCGCCGAGCCCCCCATCGCCCCCAATCCCGGCGGACCCACCGCGCCCCCGCTCCCGCAGCCCCGCTGTCCCCCCGGCTCCGCCCGGCCCGTGCGGGGTCCCGCCGCGTCCTCACCGCCAGGCCCGGCCGAGCAGCGGCTACCGGCGCGGCGCCTGCGCCCGGCCCCGGCTCCTCCCGCCCGGTTCTGGCTCCTCCCGCCCGGCCCCGGCTCCTCCCGCCCGGCCCCGGCTCCTCCCGCTCGGTGCCGGCTCCTCCCGCCCGGCCCCGGCTCCTCCCGCGCGGCCCCGGCTCCTCCCGCCCGGTTCTGGCTCCTCCCGCTCGGTGCCGGCTCCTCCCGCCTGGTTCTGTCTCCTCCCGCTCGATCCCGGCTCCTCCCGCCGGGATCTGGCTCCTCCCGCCTGGTTCTGGCTCCTCCCGCCCGGCCCCGGCTCCTCCCGCTCGATCCCGGCTCCTCCCGCGCGGTTCTGGCTCCTCCCGCCCGGTTCTGGCTCTTCCCGCACGGCCCCGGCTCCTCCCGCTCGATCCCGGCTCCTCCCGCCGGGCCCCGGCTCCTCCCGCTCTGTCCCGGACCGTCCCGCCCCGTCCCAGCTCCCCCTGACTGATGGCCGCTTTTCCGTCCCCGTCCCGGCTCGTTCCGCTCGGTCTGGGCTCCTCTCGGCCTGTCCTGGCTCTTCTCCCTCATCCCAGTTCTGTCCCGCTCGCTCCCGGTTCTTCCTCCCCTTCCCGGCTCCATCTGCTGCCGGCGGAGCTCCTGGCTCTGCTCTCCCCGAACCCTCCGGGCAGGTCCGTCCCCCTCTCCGCGTTCGGCTCCGAGCGCTCCAGAGCCGCCGCGGAGATTGGGGCAGCCGGGGCTGATTTCAGCCGGCCCGGAGCTGCTTTCCTGAGAAACCTCCCGGCCTCGGCTTTCCCGGGACACTGTCCCAGCTTCGGTTTTCCTGGGAAACCCCCCAGGCCTCGGCTTTCCTGACAAGAGGAGCAGGTTTCCAGTCTGGAAGCAAAGTCAGGCAGGACTTCAACCCCCGGCAGCCACATCCCGTTATCCTCTCCTGAGCTCGTTTCCCCCTTTCTCTGTTAAGTCCATTCTTCCTAAAATTCCTGGGTTTTTCTTGCTGAAAAGTCGCTTTAAGGTCAGCAGTCATTCCCTGTCTCAGGCTGTCTCCCTGCAATTCCAGCTGGGAAAGCAGCACAATTCCACATCACCTGCACAGGGTCAATTCCCACACTCTCCCTGCCTGCCCCAGCCAAACACATTGAAATCATGGAATGGTTGGGATTAGGAAGAACCTCCAATTTTTCCCCTCTATCTGCTGACTTCCACGTGGATTTGATGTTTTTCCTCCTTTCCCTCATTTGCAAATATCACTTTTCTCAGGCCCCTCTGCTCCTCACCCAAAAAACCCAGAACCTGTCCCCAGGTCACCCGTGGCACATCCGGAGCTCCAGGACTGACGTGGTTTTCGGGGATTACAGAGCAGGGTCAGGCACAAATCCTGCCTCAATCCCTGCTCTGGGATCAGCCCCAGACTGGAATAATTTCACCACCCGAGTGTGGAATTCGGGATGGGAGAAGGGAAAAGAGGAGAAGGAGAAGGAGGAAGACACTTCCTGGTGGGATTACAGAGGAAACCTGTGCAGGAAAAAAGGGGGAAAGTGAAAAAGGAGCTGCATCCTGCAGCCAGGTGAACAAGGGGGGTCTGTGCCAAAGGCAGCCCCAGTCCCACCAGTTTGGAGCTGTTCCCATTTCCCAGTCTGCCCACAGGAATGTCTGTAACACACTGGGATTTCTTCCAGGGCCTGGCAGGTTTGGGCTTGGCTCTGTCACCACTTGGTCCCTTCTGCTGCTGGGTCAGAGCTGCTACAGGAAAATGAACAATAATTAAACACATTAATTTCATTAAAGAATTAAAGACAGGTAGTAATAGGGCACAAAAAGAGTCACTTCACCCTCTTTGTTGTCTTTCCTTTGCAGGTTCACCCTGTTCCTCACAGACACACCGAGCTGGCTATTTTCCCCCCATCCCTTTACAAACCATCCTGGATTAAGCCCCAGAATTTTGCCACAGGCATCAAGAAACTCTTCCAGAACAGTTTTGGGAAAAGCTGAGTGCTCCCATTCCCTCCTGCTGCCAAGCCAGGAGTTCCAAGCACCACACAACACCCTGAATTATAAATATTAATTACAAACATTACAGCAGCGTTCAGATTAACTCAGTCCCTTGAGGGGTTCCAGATGATCATTCCCATCTCAGACCAACAATTCCTTCTCTAAATTAGGCTGAAAAACCCCAAGATTGTTTTGGATTGACCCCAAATCCTCCTGGCTGTCCCACAGGGAGATGCCGTGGATGCTGTGGAATCCTGTCAGTGCTTCCCTAGAAAAATCCCAGAGGCCAGGATCCCCTCCCGTGCTGGTCCTGCTCTAACTGGGCTCTGCTTTATTGCTCTGTAATTAGCACTGGGCTCTGTAATCAGCACTGGCTGATTTCTCCCTTTGTTTGCCTGTTTGCCGGGGAGGGGGAGCTGAGGATGTCTGGGATTCACCGGGATGAGCCGGGTTTAATCAGGCAGGGATCAAACCTCCTTCCCAAAGTCACCGCCGGGGCTGGGATGGAGCCCGGAGCTGTTCCTGACCCCTCTGATGAGATAGAACCTTCCAGAGGTTGATTGGGGAGCAGGAGAGCTCCTGAAGAGCCTTTGTGACCGAAATGAGGCAGCTCTGGAGAAGGATCCGTCGTGAAATGGAGGAGGAAGGGAATCAGAGGGAGAATAAAGCAGAATTTTAGCCACCAAATCCTTCCTGCAACAGCTCCAGACAGGAGCTGCTCCCAAACACAGCGCCGGGCTCCAGGGAAGGTGGCCAGACCTGCAGAACGAGTTCCTGAGGACAGGGAGGGCCAGAGCTGAGCCCAGCAGAGGTATCCTGGGAAATCCGTGGAATTGTTGAGGACAGGGACAGCTAGAGCTGAGCCCAGCAGAGGTATCCTGGGAAATCCGTGGAATTGTTGAGGACAGGGACAGCTAGAGCTGAGCCCAGCAGAGGTATCCTGGGAAATCCGTGGAATTGTTGAGGACAGGGACAGCTAGAGCTGAGCCCAGCAGAGGTATCCTGGGAAATCCGTGGAATTGTTGAGGACAGGGACAGCTAGAGCTGAGCCCAGCAGAGGTATCCTGGGAAATCCGTGGAATTGTTGAGGACAGGGACAGCTAGAGCTGAGCCCAGCAGAGGTATCCTGGGAAATCCGTGGAATTGTTGAGGACAGGGACAGCTAGAGCTGAGCCCAGCAGAGGTATCCTGGGAAATCCGTGGAATTGTTGAGGACAGGGACAGCTAGAGCTGAGCCCAGCAGAGGTATCCTGGGAAATCCGTGGAATTGTTGAGGACAGGGACAGCTAGAGCTGAGCCCAGCAGAGGTATCCTGGGAAATCCGTGGAATTGTTGAGGACAGGGACAGCTAGAGCTGAGCCCAGCAGAGGTATCCTGGGAAATCCGTGGAATTGTTGAGGACAGGGACAGCTAGAGCTGAGCCCAGCAGAGGTATCCTGGGAAATCCGTGGAATTGTTGAGGACAGGGACAGCTAGAGCTGAGCCCAGCAGAGGTATCCTGGGAAATCCGTGGAATTGTTGAGGACAGGGACAGCTAGAGCTGAGCCCAGCAGAGTTATCCTGGGAAATCCATCACCTCCTTCCCACATAATCCGCTGGTTTTCCATGGCTGGAGGTGCCACACAGCCCAGCATGGCCCCATGGAGCTCCAGGCAGCATGCCTGGCTCTGCCAGCAGCAGCTGGCAACCAGGGAGCAGGATTTGGCCAGTCCCCATCCAGCAGCCTCGTGCTGGTGGCCACAGGACAAGGGCAGTGGCCAAAGCCACCTCTCCCCTCAGGCACAGCTGGGTTTTCACTTCCTGACCACGGAGAGGCTCAGGACACCCAACCATCTCTGCTCTCTCAGCTGAAGTCACCGGGAAAGAGGAATTCCAGCCCTGCCATTTCCATCTTTTGCAGAAAGTGAAGTTTTTTAACCATGGGTGAACTGGAGAAAGCAGCAACACAAATCCCAGCTGCCCACCTGGGCTGGGCCCAAATTTCAGTTACAGAAACAGGGCTGGAGACACCTGGAAAACCACTCTGGGATTCAAACAGAGTGGAACACCCTCATCATCCTCAGCTCCTCAGGCGTGGCAGGAACGTCCCAGCTCCCCTCTCTGCTGGAGACCTTCCCACCGCTCCTCTCCCAGCCAGGCTCAATGGAAGGCGCTGCTGGCGAGCGGGGGAATCCTCCCCAGCCACACGGGGCTTCCGCACTCAGCCAGGGCGTGCTGAGGTGGGCAGGAGCCCAGAGAAACCCTCTCCAAGGCCATCTCGGCATTTTCCACCTGCAGCACAGCGTGGGGCAGCAGCTGGGGCGGGCTGAGGGTCTGCAGAGCGCTGCGCTCGGAGCTGTCGGGGTGGAAGGACGCCAGCTCCTTGCTGAAGGTCACGGTCTGCACGGCGCTGCCGCGGCACGGGCAGCCCCAGCCCAGCAGGGAGGCGAAAGCCCCGCGGAATTCGGCGTTGAAGGCGTAGATGATGGGGTTGAGGGCGGAGTTGGCCCAGCCCAGCCAGGTGAAGGTGCTGAGCACGGCCCTGCTGACGCACGGCTCAGGGTCGCAGAAGGGCTCCAGGCAGTTGAGCACGAAGAAGGGCAGCCAGCAGCACACGAAGACGCCCATGATGACGAAGAGGGTCTGGAGCACCTTGGTCTCCTTCTTGAGGGAGTTTTTCAGGGAGGTTTCCCGAGGGCAGTCGCTGCTGCCCGGGCAGCTCCGGGCGCGTCCCGCCGGCCTCTCCAGGGAGGAGATCCTGCGGAGCTGGCGCCGGGCCATGCGGAAGAGGCGCCCGTAGGTGCCCAGCATGATGGCAACGGGGATGTAGAAGCTGATGAGGGACGAGGAGATGGCGTAGGTCCTGCTGAGGCTGGAATCGCAGCTCCCCTCCTGCGCAGAGCCGTTAAACCCCAGCTGCTCTCGGCTGGGCAGCTCCTTGTGCCACTGCAGCTGCACGGGGATGAAGGAGATGAGGAGGGACAGCAGCCAAGCCACCCCGATGGTGACGAAGGCCAGGCGCTGTGTCGCTCTCCTCTGGTAGCAGAAGGGGTCGGCGATGGCCCAGTAGCGCTCGAGGCTGATGAGGCACAGGTGGAGGATGGAGGCCGTGCAGCACGTGATGTCAAAAGCCACCCAGAGGTCACAGAAAGCCCCGAAGGGCCAGAAGCCCAGCACGTCGCTGGCAGCACTCCAGGGCATCACCAGCACGGCCACCAGCAGGTCAGACACGGCCAAGGAGACCACAAAGAGGTTGGTGACCTTGGAGCGCAGGTGTGGGAACCTGAGCACGGCCAGGCACACCAGGGCGTTCCCCAGCAGCGTGGAGAGGATGAGGAGGGACAGGCAGGCGGCCGTCACCACCCGCAGGGACAGCGGGGAGTGTCTTTGTCCTGCCCAGCTGGTGGCATTGAGCACGTCCTGCCCAGCTCCTCCTGCCGAGGGGTAAAACCCATCCATGGCTTCCCCGTTTATCCCGTCCTGCCGAGGTTTCTCAGCTGCTCAAGGCTCCATCAGCATCCAGAGCCCGTTTTCCCTTCTCCCCTGCTCCCACAGCACCTCTGAAGCCCCAGCTGCAATCCCGTCCTGCTGCCAGCACAGGAAAAGAGCTGGAAGCTCTCGGTCCTTTCCAGGTCTCTGCCAACAGGATTTTTGGAATTTGGATTTTCCCTCCTGCCTCCCACTCCAGTTCCCTTCCTCTGCTGCTCCCGGGAGCCAGAACTCACCTCCGGGGCTGGGGAGCCTTTGCTGCAAATCTTCCTCCCTCTCCTCTCTCCTCTTCACCTGCCGGTGATCCTGTGCCTGCTGCAGAATTCCCAGATCCCATCCATGGCCAGGCTGGGATTCGCTGCCGGGAGCGAGAGGGGTCTGAGCTCCCTCTGCTCCTGCAGCCCCTCCCTGCTCACAGCCCGGCTGCTCTTCCCTCTGGAGCCAAATCCCTCTGCAGCTGGCTCAGGTGGGATCTGCCTCTGCCCCTGGGAGCTGGGAGACTTGTGAATCCACAGGGTGAGTCACTGGGAATTCAGTGAGAGGTTTGAGGGGGAAAATAATCATTCCAGTCAGATTTGAGGGTCCTCAATGCAAATGAGCACAGGAATTGATGGTGATTTCTGCACAAAAGGTGCCTGATTTCAGTGCCCAGGCGCTGAGTCACAGCTCAGAGATGACCCCAAACCAATCACTCCTCCCTGCCCTGAGCTGGTGCAAAACTGGCATTTATTGTCCACTGCAAAATTCCTTCTCCTGGAAAAAAAATGAAAAAAACCACATCTAAAAATCCTGTACAAACCTGGAAGTTTTTCTTTTTGCAAGTCCCACACAAAGCAGCCTCAGATCTTTTTTCAGCACAGGTTACCTGCAGAACCAGTGAGGATGCTGATCATCATGTGGATAAGTTTTTTAATCCTCGATAAACAGATTTTACTTTCAGTAAAGTGGTGTAAAGTTGCTTTTCTTTCAAGTTCATAATTATTTCCTTAACTCCCAGCTCGTTCCACGTCAGCTTTCACCTCAGGGATAACTGGAAAAATTAACCAGAAAGTCAAGATCCTTTTGCAGTCAGGTGTGGAGGTGGCACTTGGGGACACGGTGTGGGGGTGGCCCTGGCAGCCGGGATTGCTAAACCCGGATCTATCACCCCGGTATTGCTGAGCCCGGTTCCATCACCCCGGGATTGCAAAACCCGGATCCATCACCCTGGGATTGCTAAACCCGGATCCATCACACCGGGTTTGCTAAACCCAGATCCATCCCCCGGAGCCGGCTCAGCTAAACCCGGATCCATCACCTCGGGATTCCTAAACCCGGATCCATCACCCTGCGATTGCTAAACCCGGATCCATCCCCCCGAGCCGACTCAGCTGAGCCCGGATCCATCACCTCGGGATTCCTAAACCCGGATCCACCAACTCGGGATTCCTAAACCCGGATCCATCCCCCCAAGCCGGCTCAGCTGAGCCCGGGGAGAGCAGGACCTGCCCCGATCCCTTCCCAGCAAGGAGCCGACATTCCCTAAAGACACAGCCCGGGCTCGCTCGGGGTGTCCGGGCGCTCGCTGTCCCCTTGTCACGGCCACAGCTTGGTTTAATTAAGCCTCATTAGCGGCGGCTGCAGCGCCGGGGAGCGAGGGTAGATGGCACCAGCGGCCGCGCACGGAGCGGCTCCTGCCCTCGGGAATTCGGGATCCCGGCAGGGAAAAGCGCGGAGCTGGGGCTGGGCAGGGCCGGAGAGCAGGGAAAGGCTCTTCCCGGGGGGAATAAACCCTGGGACAGCCCCCAGGGAACGGGCACGGCCCCGGGGCTGCCGGGGCTCCAGGAGCCTTTGGGCACCGCCCCAGGGTGGGATTTGGGGTGTCTGGGACCTTTCCCGCCCAGGATACCCCAAGGCCCTGGCAGATCCCTGTCCCCCAGGGCTGCTCTGCCCTCTGTGCCCCACGGGGCATTTCCCTCCCAACCCCCGCTCTGGGCACAAAGATTTTCAGGATCTCAGGAACAAACACCGGGATGCTTTCCCTGCTGTCCGGGTGAGCAGTGGTGGCAGTGCCCTGTGACAGGGCAAGGTGGCACTGATCTGTCACACAGCAGAGGGTGGCACTGATCTGTCACATCACAGCCCAGCAGTGGTGGCACTGGATCTGTCCCCTCCATAAGTCACAGCACAGGGTGGCAGTGGCAGCTCATGGTGGCACATCCCAAGCCAGGAGGCTTCCAGGAAATCCTTCTCTGAGCTACAAATCAGCTCCTCCTCCTTGGGAGCTCCAAAATATAAAATTCTAGAGCTGTTGAGGTTGGCAAAGACCTTCTTACCATCGAGTGCAAGTGTGGCCTCAGCCCTGCCAGGGCCACCCCCACACCGTGTCCCCAAGTGCCACCTCCAGACATTTTGAACCCCTCCAGAGATGGTGATTCCACCATTCCAGTGCCTGATGTTTTCCATGAAGGATTTTGTCCCAGTTTCCAACCTAAACCTCCCCTGGTACAACCTGAGGCTGCAGGAAAGGATCTCCCCTTCCGCTGGAGCTGGGGTGGTGTGGGATGGGATGGGATCCATGGGATGGGATGGGATCTATGGGATGGGATGGGATGGGATGGGATGGGATGGGATGGGATCCATGGGATGGGATGGGATCCTTGGGATGGGATCCGTCGGATGAGATGGGATCCATGGGATGGGATGGGATCTATGGGATGGGATGGGATCCATGGGATGGGATGGGATGGGATCCTTGGGATGGGTTCCTTGGGATGGGATCCCTGGAACAGAATGGGATTCAATTTATCCAATTTCTGTGCATTTCGGACCACGCCTGCTGCAGAAATCCCTGCAGGTTCTGCTGTCACAAAGCAAAGCCAGCAGCTCCCAGGGCAGCTCCTCCTGGGAGAGATCAGATCTCCTCCCCTGAGGCAGCTGCATTATTTGATAATCAACAGTTCAGCAGCTATTTTTTCTCCAGGCTCAAGTTAAGCACAATTTTAAACAGTTCTCCAGCATGAAAAGATTCGTTTGGTGGCAATTCAGCTCGAAGTTTTTATATTTAATTTCCTCACCCAGCAAGAGGCTGCCCTTGATTTCCTTTCCCTGCTGTCTCACCAAAATATCCTGAAAATTCTCCATTCAGGCACCCTGATTACATCCCCCACTCTGCATCAAAGGCAGAAAATTACCAGCCACTCCAAATAAAGCAGCAGCTGCTCGGGTTTAACTCCTCAATGTCACTTCCAGCACAGCTGATGCATCCCAGGATTACAGGGGAGTGTTTATTCCTGCAGGAATTTCCAGGGAAGGGACAAGTTCTGAGATCAGGGGAGAAAGGAGGAGGAGTCAGACTTTAAAAACAAAAATCCAGGTTGTAGGTGAGACCTGAGCCCTGTAAAAAAATCCATGGGAGCTCTCCAGGGATCAGATCAAACCTCAGCCAGAGGAAACAGCATCAACAGCCTGGGGATTCCAGGTTCAGGCATCGTGGTTTTAGAGGGAAATTTGGTTTTTTATACACCAGGCCACTCAATTTACATCCATTTTCTTCAGGCAGAGGGAAAACCAGTACCAGGCTCCCAGTCTGGGCTGCTCAGTTACAATTAGAACAAGAAGCTGGGTGAAAAACTGCCCCAAAATCAGCTTTAGGAATTGTCTGGCACAAAACCAAGGGGCTCATAAGAACTGATTTCCTTTTCTCCATGGGCAAAGTGGTTTAGGCAAAGGGCTGGGACTGTGAGCCTTCCAAGTGCAGGTGTGAGATGCAGAGTGATAAAAAAGAAGGGAGAAGATAAGGAAACGCAGGAATTGTGTCCAAAATGGCACCAGGAATGAAGGCAGTGCCACCCAAAAAAGCAGCAGAGCCTGCTCAGGAAAACCAGACAATTATTAAACATGGTAATATTTAATAATGGGCTTTTTGAACCCAGGGTAAAGTCTGGTGGAGCAGTTGCTCAGTTTGGGTTTGGATAAAGCAGCCCAGGACTATCCCTGGATCCCAGCACAGCTGGAGCAGCAGCTGGGACAGGGACAAAGCACAGGAGTCCCCAGAGCCCCTCGGGTCCCTCCCCTCCCCTTCTGTCACACACAGGCAGAAAACACCGAGGTTTTTCTCCCATTTACTTCCAGAGGAAAGGAATACAGAGCTTCAAGTCATTGTACATCATTCCATGGGGGAAGTGTGAGCTGCAGCCTCCCCCCTCCCCTGGCAGGAGCCTGCACTGGTGAGCGGTGACAGAGGGGACACAGCCCCTGGGGACACCCCCAGTGCCACCCCTGGCCCTGGGCTGGGACTGAGTGGGCAAGAAATGATCACCAGGAGGGGAAACTCCGGCCTCATTCCCATTATCCCAAGCTGCCACTGAGGAATGGGGTTTGGAGAGGCAGCGTGGAAGTGCTGGGATACATTCCCAGTGCTGTGAGAAAACATTCCCAGTGGTACTGAAACACATTCCCAGTGATGCTGGAATAAATTCCCAGTGCTGTGGGAATACATTCCCAGTGCTGCTGGAAAACATTCCCAATGCTGTGGGAGCACATTCCCACTGGTACTGGGACACATTCCCAGTGTGGAGGAATGCATCCCCAGTGGTGTGAGAACACATTCCCAGTGGTGTGGGAATACATTCCCAGTGGTACTGGAACACATTCCCAGGCAGAAGAGGGGCACAGGGCTGGTGATCCATCCACAGGCAGCCAGGCACTCCCCTGCCACGCTCAGGAATCCCAGGGAAGGGCACATTCCCCTGCTGGAGCTCTGTTTTTCAGGGATTTGGGCTTCCCACGCTTCCGTGTGCACGCGAGGGGTAAAAAGTGACCTGCAAAAGATGAGGGCTGGGCTCATCTGCGGGGGGAGAGGCAGCCCTGCAGCAGCTGCAGCTGTGGTGCTCAGGGTTTTGTGCATCAAAAACACCCACAGGGGCTGGTCTGGGGCTTTCTGGGAACACACAATCCTGGGGGAGTGCAGTGCCAGGGCTGAAGGCAAAGCCAAGGCTGTTCCATGGAGCTGTGCTCTCCCAAGGGATCCCTTTATTTCCCACCCCAAATCCCTCCGTGGCAGCTCAGAGCCATCACCCTGCAGCTCCCAAGGAGTTCTGCTTACAGGGGTGATACAAAAATAGCCACCAGCTCCAATTTCAAGTGCCAGCACAAAGAGGCTGGATGGCAATGCCCAGCCTTGGCCACAAGAGCCTGAAACTCCTCTGGGGCAATCTTTTGCAGGTCTCCCTTTTAAGGCCTTAATGTCGTTACAGAGAGAGGGATTCTTTTGTCTTGTGCTTGCCATCGCTGCCCTCCCTGAGCAGCACCAAAATCTCCTCAGACTGAGCAATTCCAGTGCCTGGCTGTCAGTGCAGGATCCAGAGGGAGGGACACAACAAGCACCAGGTGTTTAAGCTGCTGCAAGGGCAGGACTGATGTGCCAAGTGTTCTAAACAACCACACAAACAGCCAAATGTTGAGCCACTGCAACGCTGCTGCTACTCAGATTCTCAACATCAGCCACAGCAAAGGAAGAGAAATCAAAATCAAACCCAAAACTGATCACTGGTATGGACACAGAAGAGTTTATCTTGGCTGCAGTTGTGTTCCCAGGAGGGAAGACTGGATGTGGCAGTGACTGGGGGTCACGAGTCAGATCGAGACCAGATGTTGGCACAGAGATGACAAACACCAGCTGGGGCCAGGTCCAGAGTGGATTGTCATGGCAGGAGCTCCTGCTGCTGAGCAAAGACAGATCCAGGAGCACAGGGGGTGTCCCCTCTCCTTGGAAGTTCTGGTCATCAGTTAAGGAACATTGAGACACTTCCCAAACTGCAGCAACAGGATTCTGTTGGCTCTTCAGAGATTCAGTCCCAGAGCTGTTTTGGGTTCAGAAGCAGAGGGAGTCTTTTGTGCCAGATCTGTGAAGGGAATTGCAACAGAGAAGAGATCAGAACTCATCACACACGTCCACAACCACCCAATACAATTCCAGAGTGCCCAGCTGCTTCCCTGCTCTGCTCCATCCCCTGGGGAGCACACCTTCCACCCCCCTGGAATCACATGTTCCATGTGGAACAGGCCCTGGAAATTTCTAGGGAATGCCTTGGAAATTGGGGTTATAATCTGCCCAAACAGAAGGAAAACTACATGGCAAATCCTGTGGAATTGTTCATGAACAGATTCCCAAAAGGAAAACTGAAACTGTCCAAGACAGGCGTAGGGAAAGCTCAGTTCGAGCCCGTGAACTCTGGTCATTCACTCTTACTAAATCACAGGATATCCCGAGTTGGAAGGGACCCAAAAAGATCATGAATGAATCATAAAGTATTATTTCTTTATAATTCTTATTATTTATTTCCTTATCAGTAAATAAAGCCCACTTTAAGCAGGCCTGTCCCACATAAAGAGCATTCCAGGGAAGATGCTGAGTGCTGGACAAATCCTCTTTAAAAAAATCCAGAAGGTTTATCCCTTCTGACACTGCCTGGCCTTGTACAATTCAGTTAAATTTAAAAAATCAATTAGTCCAAGCAGCAGCTCCCTCACAGAGCCTCAGCTTTCCCTCCACCCATGGCAAAGGATCCAGGCACAATTCCCAGCTCTCCCAGGACTGGGTTTAACTCTGCTGAGCCAGGATCCAGGCTCAATTCCCAGCTCTCCCAGGACTGGGTTTAGCTCTGCTGAGCCAGGATCCAGGCACAATTCCCAGCTCTCCCAGGACTGGGTTTAACTCTGCTGAGCCAGGATCCAGGCTCAATTCCCAGCTCTCCCAGGACTGGGTTTAGCTCTGCTGAGCCAGGTCCAGGCACAATTCCCAGCTCTCCCAGGACCCTGCTGACCCCTGTTCTGCTCAGGGCTGTCCCAGCTCCCCGAGCAGCCCCTCCCAGGCCCTGCTGCCATTCCTACCTCCAGCAGACACAGAGAGCTGCTCCAGCTCAGCCTCCAGCTCGGCATCAGAGATGGGGGCACTCAGCACCTTCTGGGGAACGGGAGGCAGATCCAGGGAATCCTTGCTGGAGTCCTGCAGGAGACTGTCCAGCTCCTTCTCCAGCTCCTCAGAGTCCATCTCTGCTGAGAAAAGAAAATATTTCAGCTCCAAGGAGAATTCAGTGGCATCCTCACGGCACAGACTGAGATCCAAAACTAAGCTGTTATTCCTTCCATCCATTGTTACTCACAAGGAATTTCCTGTACTTCTTTTAAAGGACTGAAAATTCAGTCCTGATCTGAGGGAGGAGAATTTTTTTTCTTGGCACTGAGGCCAAGAAGCTCTGGCACCTTTCAGCAGAGGCAAACAAGCTGCAGCAGCAACCAGGCCAGAGGAAAAAGCTCATCACTTCAGCAAAACAAAGCAGCAGCCACCCTAAAAATAGATTTAAACCGACATTACCCAGCTTTGAACTGAAATCCAGCCCCAAACAGGGACCACGAGGATTTGGAGATGAATAAACTGTCACAGGGGAGAGCTCCCTGCTCCCATTCCCTTCAAGGCACCAACTCTGGGATTTGGAGAAGAGTTTATTCCCCCAGGAAGCTGCTGAATGTGGGGAGGGAGCAGGGATGGGAGGGAGCAAGGGAAAGGAGGAGGGAGTAAGGGAAAGGAGGGAGCAGGGATGGGAGGGAGCAAGGGAAAGGAGGAGGGAGCAGGGATGGGAGGGAGCAAAGGAAAGGAGGAGGGAGCAGGGATGGGAGGGAGCAAAGGATAGAATGCCCAGGACATACCCAGACCATTGATCCCCACTCCAGCCAGAGTCTGGGCCACTTCATCTTGAGTGTCACAAAGCTGAGGTAAAAGAAACACAATGAGATAAAGATTAGAAATTGACTTTGTGCCCTACTGTAGCTGATTTATCAAAAGCAGAACTAACAAACAAAATCAGAAACTGGCCTGAAGGCAGCAGGAATTAGTGCAAAAGGCATTTCCACCTTGGTTGTCACAAGGAACATGAAGATTATTTCATAATAATAAATAACAAGAGCAAGGATGGCACACTGAGGATCAAACCCAAAGCAGAATTTCACAGTGGGAGTAAAGATATTGCTCTGACTGGAGCTTTTGCACAGAAATCTTGAGTTGAAACTGCAGCTTGGGCTCCAGAAGCAGGAAGCTGAAGACCAAGCCACATCCCAGCCAGGACATTTTGCAGCCCCTCAGCTCGAGCTGAAGGCTCAGTTTGAGCTGATGGTGCTAAAAAATTAATCCTTGTCTGTTTGTCACAGCAGCTTAGACTGCCAGGCTGCTCTGCTCACTTCAGTTCCTGCAGAATTAACTCCTTTCCCTCACTGAAATGCACATTACAGAACTGCAGAACTGACTAGGTTGGAAAAGACCTCTGAGATAATCAAATCCAACCTATAAAAATTAAGCAATAACATAGAATAAAATGAAATAAAATAGAATAGAATATAAATACAACAAAATAGAATAAACATAAAATAAAATAAAACTAGAATTAAAATACAATAGAATATAATATAATAGAATAAAAATAGAATAGAACATAATAGAATAAAATACTATAGAATACAATAGAATAGCATAGAATAAAATACAATAGAACAAAATAAAAATAGAATAAAATAGAATAAAACAGAAAAAATCAGAATAAAATAAAATAATACAACAAAGCAAAATAAAATAACATGTCAGGCTGTTTTATGCACACAGCTCCAGCTTCCAGAGGTTTGATTTGTATTTTTAATATACCTAAAGACTTTCTAGGAAAGCTGGGTGCTTCCTCATTATTGCTGATCAAAAAACCCCCACAAAATGCAAATTTAAAATAAATTAAAATACATTGCAGCAAAACCAAGACACAGAAATCTTCTTGCTGATGTTTTAGCTCAAAATTAAGTCAGTTTGCTGTAGTGCCATAAAGGGAAAACACTAAATAATTAAAAGCAACCAAAGAATTAATAATTAATTAATATCTGGGCAGGTTTCTTGGGAATATCCCCACCCCCCTGGCTGTTCCAGTACCTCTTGGATCTGATCCACCAGGTTCTCTGCCCTCTCCACAGTCACATCCTTCATGGAAAGCTTCAGAGCTCCCACTCCAGCCTGGTAGGCATTGAACACCTGGAAATTCAAAATAAAAGAGATGGAGATGCACAATGCTGATGGACTCCGGGCTGGTACATATTAATATCTGGAAATTCAAAATAAAAGAGATGGAGATGCACAATGCTGATGGACTCCAGGCTGGTAGGCATTAAACATTTGGAAATTAAAAATAAAATACAAATATGCACAATGCTGATGGACTCCAGGCTGGTAGGCATTAATACCTTGAAATTAAAAACAAAAGACAAACATGCACAATGCTGATGAAAACAGAGGGATCTCCTCTCTCCAAGCTGCTTCCCAAGCAGCATCCCTGGAGAAACAGCAGGACGTGGAGGGAGCTTGGTGCACAGGGACATTCCCAGGGTAAATCCCACCCCAGGTGAAGGGATGAGGGGAAGGAGCTGGGGGAGGAGCCCGGGGAGGAGCCCTCGGTACCATCTGGTCGGTCTGGGAGGCGTAGATCCGATCCAGGATTCCCTGCACCGCATCCAGCTTGGAGTGCAGCTCCTCGATGCGCCGCTCCGTCCTCCGCTTGGACTTGAGGCACCTCAGGGCCTGCCCAGGGACACAAACACAGAGAGAGCTCAGGGAAATGGACACAAACACAGACAGAGCTCAGGGAAATGGACACAAACACAGACAGAGCTCAGGGAAATGGACACAAACACAGAGAGAGCTCAGGGAAATGGACACAAACACAGACAGAGCTCAGAGCACACACACAGAGCTCAGAGCACACAGAGAGCTCAGCTTCACAAACACACACACAGAGAGCTCATCTCACACACACACAGAGTTCAGCTTCACAACAGCACACAGCTCAGCTCACACACACACAGAGCTCAGCTCACACACACACAGAGAGCTCAGATCACAAACACACACAGAGCCCTCAGCCTCACAAACACACACACACAGAGCCCTGAGCTCACACACAGAGCCCTCAGCCCACAGACACAGACCTCAGCTCACCTTCACACACAAATCTGGGCACTCTCCCCTCCCCTGGACTTATTCCCACTTTGGTGAGGCCAGTAATTCCTGCTGGCACCACGGTGTGGGAATACTTTAAAATCAGAGGGTTTTGGGAAAGCTGCAAAAGGCAGGCCTCAAATATTCCAGCTAAACACAAAGCATCTAAACATTTCAGCTTTAACATCTAAAATATGCCATCTGAAGTATTGCAGCTGGCACCTGCAGCTATTCCCATTCCTGGGTGTTGAAGTTTTCTTCAAAAAAAGGAATCCTTGTGGAATTTCATGCTGATTAAAAGCAGGTATTTGTAGCCTGTTGCAGCACACAAGAAGTAGAGAAAAGCAGAGAAAGGCTGTGAAATGTGTGTTTGTGTTTGTGCTAAATTTGCTCAGAAATAATCACATCCAGAAAAAAATTTAACTGACAAATTTGTTTAAACATAAAAAAAAAAAAAAAAGAGCCAGGAGTTGGATTTTGATGATTCTGAGTGGGTCCCTTCCAACTCGGGATATTCTGGGATTGGAAGAGTCATAAAAAAATCCCAAATCAACCAGGAATCCCTAAGGCACACACAGAACAAGTGGGTTGAAGAGTTTATTTCCAACTCCCTTCATCACCTCACTCTGGAAAAATAAATCCTTCACTTCAGGAGAGCTTTGGCTTCAGAGCCACCACTCCAACACACCCCTGGGAGGAAGCCCCCAGGTTTAACCCTGGGCATGATCTGCAGCTCTGGAGCAGCTCCAGGACATTTCCCTGGGAATTCCACTCACCAGCTGCTTCTTCCCAGCTCTGCAAGCACTCCTGGCGTCCTCTTTACACCTACAAGATGGAAAAAGGAGAAAGGAAAGGAAATTTCTTCCTTTTTTCACAACCCACAACCTCCCTCCCGCTCTCTCTGAGGGGACCACAACACTGCATTTTGGATACAACCACCCTCAAACCACTGCTGGTTCCCACAAGTCCTTGACTGCATTCCAAATCCTTGCAAACATTCCCCACAGCCTTGCAAACATTCCCTGCACCTTGTTTTTATAGGGAACAGGGAACAAAGGCTGGAAAAGCTGTCCCAGCACACGGCTGTGAAAGTTTTGTTTGTGAACAGGAAAGAACAACAGGAGAAAGCAGTTAATTGTGTCCCAGAGTTCTACATCCCACAGATGTTGTTCCCACCACCCTTCCCCAAATTACTTCTCTGCTTCCTGGGAAAGGGACTCCACCTTCTGTGACAGCAGCTGCTCACTCTGCATCAGCTGATAAACTCCAATGTCCACATCATTCATTGGGGACACCTTGGCGTGGAGGCCTCGGGCAAACTTCACAATCTGAAATCAGAGCAGCACAGGCTGGAGTCACTGCCCAGAAATCTCAATTAGGAATCACAGACTGGAGTCACTTCCCAGTATCTCAATTAGGAATAGTTTCACTTGGAAGGAAGGAAAAGAAGTTTTTGCACTCCCAGTTTAGGCCTTGGAGTCAGGAGGATGTCCCAGCCACCACAGGATTTAATGTTAGACTAGGATCGGGACCAGCAGTGTGGAAACAAAAAGCCTTAATGGAACACCTGGAAGATTTAAAGCTGTCCCTGGATTCTGGAAGTGGAAGGGAATGTCAGGCTCCCAAGGAGTTCAGAACATTAGAGGGAAAATGGAATCTCAAAGCTGAGTGCCCGCACCTCTGTAGGAAGTGACAAACTTAAAAAGCTTTTCAAAAACGTGGAATTCCACGCTGGTTCGAGAGATGTGGAGTTTGTGTAGCTGGGAATAGTCAACCTGCAGGGTCTGCCATGTTTTTAACTCTTCAATGAAATCTGAATTACTATAAATGTTTAAAGAACCTGCCATGCCAGACTTAGGATTTCTTGTCACCTACAACCAGGTAACAACACTGGAGCACGTGCAATTTACCTTTCCACACAGAGAACACCCATTTCAGCCAGCAAAAGGGCTAAAATCCATCTCTCTCCAGGCAGATGGAAGGCAAGACAGGGATGATACCACCCAAAAGCAGTCACCTGGACCCTGTACCTTCTCTCCATTCTGTTCCAGGATGGTGACCCTCTTCTCCTTCTGCAGCTGGAGCAGCAGCAAGTAGAAGGTCCTTTCATCGGGGCAGAGGCCGGCACAGAGGGAGCGGAGCTCGGAGAGCGCGACCACGGGGTGGGAAGAGAGGGCAGAGCTCTGGTACAGGCGGTAAACTTCCTCTGCCTTCTCCTGCAAGGGATCCAGTGCTGCCTTAGGACTTCTCCTTGGCTATTTGCCAGACCCTGTACTGCCTCAGAGCACAACTCTGAGCTCCAGAGAGAGTGTCAGTTACTGTCTTCACGTTTTGGACACACAGAACAATCCCTCCAGGCCTGAGATCCAAGGACACTCTACTGCCTCAGGCCCCAAAAAACATCAAAAAAAGGGAATGGGGGGAACAAACTGGGGGTAAATGACTTCATGACCTGAAGCTGTAAGTGGACAATTAACCCCTGATGTGTAAATGGACCAAACTCATACCTGTATTGTCCTGACATTGGAGGGAATGAGGAATCTGACTCCATGTTCTCAGAAGGCTAATTTAGTATTTTATGATCTATATTATATTAAAAAATACTATGCTAAACTATACTAAAGAATACAGAAAGGATACAGACAGAAGTTTAAAAGATAATAATGAAACTGGTGACTCTCTCCAGAGTCTGACACAGCTTGGCCAAAGAGTGAAAACAATTCACATGAAACCAATGAAACAATCACCTGTGGGTAAACAATCTCCAACCACATTCCACAGGAGCAAAACACAGGAGAAGCAAATGAGATAAAATTGTTTTCCTTTTTCTCAGAGGCTTCTCAGCTTCCCAGGAGAAAAATCCTGGGTGAAGGGATTTTTCAGGAAATGTGAATGTGACAGACCTGTCTGAAAAACTCGTGAGCACTGTGCACCTTGGAGGCTTCTGACTGCCCAGGGTGCATCTACTGAAGGCCTTTAGTATTATTTATTATTAATAAATATTTATTAATGTCTTCTTATTTATCTTTAGTTATTATTTTATTATTAATAAATGTATTGGGGTTTTTTATTAATAAATACCCACGTTATTTTCTAACTCTGTCTAGCCTCTCTTCTAGGTGGGCACTCCAAGGCATCACAGGGATGCTGTCAGCCCACACAGCATTCCTGCTCTTCCTAAATCCTCCCACACCTCCTTCCTCCCAACTTGGACACTTCCTGCTTTATTCTGGAGACAATTTCAGAATGAGCCACAGGGAACTCCCAAAACAGTCATCCACAAAAACCAAAACTCTGTTACTGACATTCCCTGAAAAGCTGTGGAACAGCACAGGAGCCACACAGGCAATCAACTGGCTTCCCCTGCACTTCCTGGAAATCCCTCCCCAGCTCTGAACCAAATAAAAATTCCTGCCTTTAAAGATTTCCTACGTTTCTGCTGGACACAGTAACCCAGCCAGCAAGGCCTGGAGCTCATTCTGCAGCCACAGAGTAACAGAGAGAAGAGGGGCTGGGACAGGATCCAATCCCTTGGGAAGGCAGCTGGAACAATGCCCAGGGAATCTGGGCTGGTGGGACACTGGCTGGCCAGGCTGTGACTGTTCCACCCCCTGCTCATCCCTGCAGCACATGGAGCTTGGCCTCAGCTCCTCATGTCCTGCACAGGAATGAGCTCCAGCCTGGGATTCACAGCTGGCTCCCAGCACAGTTCTGGCCTCCCTGGACAAGCAAGGAATTGTGTCCCTCCCTTTCCCTGGAGTCAGTGAGAAGTCATTGTCAGAACCACGGAACGGTTTGGGATGGAAGGACCAGAAACCCCACCCAGTGCCACCCCTGCCATGGCAGGGACACCTCCCACTGTCCCAGGGGCTCCAGCCTGGCCTGGGCACTGCCAGGGATCCAGGGGCAGCCCCAGCTCCTCTGGGAATTCCATCCCACCCCTCCCCACCCTCCCAGGCAGGAATTGCTTCCCAATCTGCCATCCATCCCTGCCCTCTGGCAGTGGGAACCATTCCCTGTGTCCTGTCCCTCCATCCCTTGTCCAAATCCCTCTCCAGCTCTCCTGGAAACCCTTCAGGCCCTGCCAGGGGCTCTGAGCTCTCCTTGGAGTTTCTCTGCTCCAGGTGAGCACCCCCAGCTCTCCCAGCCTGCTTCCAGCCCCTGGAGCAGCTCCATCATTTTCAAGGAACATCTAAATCACCTCCCATGCTCAAGCCACTGCACCCATCTCTCTCCAGGCTTTTGAACACCTCAGGAGCACCAAGGAAGATCTGCTCAGCCCTGACCCCTCCTTCCCAGCACTGGAAATGACTCCTGGTTTTCCTGGAGATGCACAATCTCAGGAAAGCTCTCCACAACACTCACCTGCAGCAGCTCCACGTAAATCAGAACCTCCTCTTCCTCGGGAATTTTGCTGTCCCCCAGCACGCTGGAGAGGGTCCACTTGAGGGGCTTCAGGATGAAAACTCCCACGCCCCATGAGATCCAGCTGCTGTCTACACTGGCCATGAAGTCTGACTCCCTCTGGAGCTTCCCACGTCTAGGGAAAAGACAATTCACGTGGCACTGAACACAGTCACTCTAAACCCTGCACATCCTGCACATCCTCCACTCCAGTGGCATTTTCTATCACCAAATCCAGCTCAAGTTTGACATTTCATTGCTGGAAGCACACTGAGGTTACCACTCCTCCCCTGCTTCCTCTGGATCCCAACTGCCTTTTGTTTACTCTTTTCCCCCCGTTTTGCAAGTTTCTCCCACTTTTCTACTTGAAACTGATGAGGCATCAAGCGAGGGGATGAACAGGGAGGGTCAGTTTTAGGGGTAATCAGCCATTTCAGGATAATTCCCTTGTTATATTAAATTGCAACAGCTTCTCAGATCTACCGGTTTTAATTTTCAGGTCACCGACAGAGCTCCTGCTGTTCTGAGCCTCTTCGAGGTGCCAGTCCCGGGCTCCAATTTCACAGCACAAAATCTCTGGTTGCAAAGACCAGCTCAACACATCCCCAGTGCCCTCAGCAGCTGAGACACCACAACATCCCAGGGAACATCCCCCATTCCTGTGGGAATATTCCTGTCCTCCCACACCTCCTGCGAGGCCCTGGCTGAGCTCTGATTCCCTGTCCAGCTCGGCCCCCCAAATTCCACACACACACACCACGAACCGCAATTCACAGAATCTCAGACTGGTTTGGGTTGGAAGGCCCTTAAATCCCACCAGGGACACCTTCCGCTGCCTCCGGCCGCTCCAAGCCCCGTCCGACCCGGCCTTGGACACCTGCAGGCACGGGGCAGCCACAGCTTCTGTGGGAACCCAGAGTGCAGAATTCCCCCCGCAGGCTGCCACGCACGGATCCATCGCCTCCGCATCCCCTGACACCCCCCACGCCCTCCCCGACCTCCTTTACCTCAGCAGCTCCCTGAGGACGGTGCCGAGCCCCAAGGGGACGCTGCCCCGCCGCTCGAAGCCGTTCTGCAGCTCCCTCAGGCACGTCCTCACCGCGCCCCTCCGCCGGCCGCGGGCCAGAACCAGCCCGACCCAGAAGGCCATCTTGCTGTCCCACTCCGTGCTGTTCACCTCGCGGCTCTGCTTGAAGGCAGAGAACAGGAAGGCCATGCGCTCGTCATCCGTCTCCCACTCCGGGGGCAGGTCCCCGGCCGGGGCCGGCCCAGGGGGGGCCTCCCCCGGGCTGCACATCTACGCGAGCCCCCGGCTCGGCCGCGGCCTCCGCCCGGCCCGGCCGCCCGCCCGCCTCAGGGGAGACGCGCACGGCGCATGCGCGGTGCCACCCCCGCGCCCCCCCCGCATCGCTTGGGGTGGGCCGCGCCGTCCCCCCCACTCAGAACCCGCTGTGGTACGGCCCGGAGAGGGTCAACGGCCCCGCCCCCAATCGCCGCCCGGATTGCTGGTGGTGACGTCACCGTGACGTCATCTATGGGTGTCATAAATGGGTGTCATAAATGGGTGTCAAGGCCAGTGGTGAGGGGGCGGGGCTCGGGCCATTTCTACATATTTCTACATATAATATATATCTCCCACATATATCGTATAGAGAATAAATGCATATTTTTAACTTTCATCATATAACCTTTCATTATTATTATTATTATTATTACAATTACTATTACTATATGTAATAATACATAATAAAATATATGCGATATCTTGGATATATTATATTATATGTAATCTTAATAGTAAATGATATATACTGTTAATATAATATTAATATATAATGTATATTATATAATATATACTATATAATGTGTCATATATAATATATAATATCGACTATAGAATATATTACATATTTTATATAATATATCATGTATTATATATTATATATAATTTATATTATGTATAATTTAATATAAATATTATAATCAAAATAATTCTATAATAATAATCTATTATAACATATAATGTACATTTCACTTAAACTATCTAATAAATTTTTGTTAATCAATCTATAATATCATAACTAAATATTGATTAGTATAAAATTATACAGGTATGAGTATATTCTATAATACTATATTATATATAATTATTTATATTATATAATACAATATTATATATTATGTAATCTGATATTATATCACGTCATGATACAAAATTGTATTATGTGATAACATAATCCTATATTATCGTTATTTAATATATAAAGGATCGAATTCAAGATGTTATTATATAATAGATAATAATGTCATGCTATGTATTGTATAATATCACTATATATAGTGTATATTTTTGTGCAATGTACAATTTATATGGAATTCAATGTAACATTACATATTTATATTAAAAAAAAAAATGAAATTGGTACAAATTGCCCAGAATTTGGCTGTGCCAGCCCCAGGGAAGGCAGCAGGTCCCAGAGCTGCCTTTAAACCAATCCATGGAAATCAGGGAATGACTCAGCACAGGCAGGATTTATTTTTAGCTCCTTCCAAGCCAAAATTTCTTATTTATTATTATATTTATCATTATATTATTGTATGTAATTGTATATATTATATACTATATTAATTATATAATATTTATTATATTATTCTATCTATTATTATATTATATATAATTATATTTTATATATTCCCTGGTTTTGCACTGCTGGACATTCCCATGTCAGGAATATCCCTGGTCCTCAGCTGTGTCCCCTACCAAAGTCTTGTTTCCTGTCCCACTGGGAGCAGGAAAAGCCTGGAAGTTTTGTAGCCCCACTCAGAAACACTGACAACATCTCGCTGTAAATAACCCTGGACTCAGCATGGACCCAAAACAGCTCCTGTGAGCAAAATTAAATAAACCTGGGCTCCAGCCCAGCCCAAACCAGCACAATCCCTCCTGGAAATTCAGCTGTGGAGAAAAAAAAGCATGATATCATTACAAGATGTAAATGAAAATTTGGCTGGAGAATGCCAATCCACGTGCTCTGAGAAATTTGGGATAAAAGATTCAATGTGCTCTCGGTGTTTAACCCCCAAAATAAATTTTTAGTTTGCTTTTGTAGCTGTGCCTGGAGAGGGAGCAGCAGCAGCTCTGTCCCCTCATGGAGGTTTAATTGGGATGGGACTTTCCAAGGTTAGGAAAAAGCTGGATTTTATCCATTATTTCAACCTGCTGAGCCAGAGGTTTCTGCTCCAGTTCCTGCTCCAGTTTCCAAGCTGGCAGATGGATGTGGAGTTTGGAAAGGGAATTTGGAGAGGGAGGTGTTTGGATAGGGAGTTTGGATACACAATTTGGAAAGGGAGTTTGGATATGGAGGAGTTTGGATAGGGAGTTTGGATAAAGGGTTTGGATAAGGAGTTTGGATTTGGATTTTTGCCAAACCCTCACTCTCTCCTCCATCCCACAGCTCCTTTCAAGTCCTGGTTCGAGGGGAGGGAAGGGAGGAGGGGAGGGAAAGGGAGAGGGGAGATCTGAGCTCAGACTCTGCATTTATTGATAATTTCCCCTTGTTTTTAGGGCACTGGGCTGGCAGGGAAGGAGAAGGGTTCATTTGACCTCTCCCCAGCCCAGACGGTGCCAGCTCGGAGGCTGGGAAGCTGCCTCGGGAAAGGGAAAAGTCCACCTGCTTGCCCTGAGCACCCCACAAACCCCAAAACTAAAGCAGGCAAAGGGAGTGAGGACAGAAATCTGAGTACCTCTCACCGCAGAGGGGAAACTGAGGCATGGAGGGCTAGAGTGGCTTGCCCAGGCTTGCCCAAGGAAGGTGCAGTGGGGAATTGAGCTCCGGTCTCATGAAGCTCACAGCTTGCCAGAGCTCTTTCCTTTTTTTTTTCTTTTTTCTTTTTTTTTTTTTTTTTTTTTTTTTTCCTGTTTCAAAGAGGAACTTGGAATTTATGAGCCAAATAATTCATTTGTGGGGAGGAAGGGGGGGAAGGTCAAAATTATCACACAGCCCCAGAGCCCAGGCACCAAAACAGGCAGGAGGCAGCACAGAACTGAAGGTAAAACTGGCTGGTGATGTTCAAAAATAAAACATGAATGGTCACGTACCCAAGCAGCTCCCCGGGGTGTGCTGAGGGTCACAGCCCCGAGAGGGACGCTCTGGGAGGGGAGATTAGAGCCTCCCACAGCCCAATCTTTGGTAGAGCTGGATGTTGAACAAACAGAAGCTGAGTCAGACGGACAGGAACATTTTGAGGGTCTGAATGTCAGAGGAGGAGGTTACCCATTAACTTGGGGCTGATAAGGCTCAGCTTCCCCAGTCACCCATTTACTGCTCATTCCCTGTGGGAATTCCGCACTCCACACTCCCTTCTCTCCACAGCCAGAGGGCAGGAGTTCAGCCAAGCTCCTGCTCCAACCCTCACACTTGTTTTATTCTCCACTTGCAGCAGAACTGTGCAAGCCAGGGGAGGATTTAAGACCCCAAAAACCAGAGGGTCCCCTCTCGTTCTCAACGTGCTCAATTTTCCCCCAGTGCTGTGCTGGGGTGCAGTCTCTGGCTCCAGAGAATTCCGGGTGCAGAGGGATAAACAGGCTGGGGATGATAAAGGCTGGAGGTCTGGCCCTGGGAGATAAACACACAACCCTTTCTCACTCGTGGCCAGAGCCTGCCCAAAAACCCACCTTAAATGAAACCCACGGTGATTTTTCCAGGATGGGAATTCTTGCTGTGAGAGGGAATGATGTGTCTGCCCAGTGTCCCACTCCTGGGCATGGCTGGGGACTGGGAGAGGGCGACCACCCTGACCTCTGTCCACAGCTTTAATCCCCACTGAGCTGCCTTTGTACAAATACTCTCCCTGGGGTTTGTCAGCACAGATAACTCGGGGCTGTTTTATAAACGGGGAGACTGAGACAGAAAGGGAAAACCCTGCGGCTTCCCAGCAATGTTTGGTGGGAGGAGGACGGGATGCCAGGGTGTGGGTGCTGAGGGGTGGCCTGGCCCTGCTGGGACGGCTGTGGAGCCAGGATGAACCACATTCCATCACAGGGCAAACTGGCATGTCCCACATCCCGGTTTTTCCTGGCTGAATTCAGGCACAGCAGTTCCCTAAAGAGCATCAGGTTGATTTTTCAGAGAGGAGGAACAGAGAGGCTGAAGCCTTCCCCATCCCATTTGCACGTGGATTAGCATTTAGCTGTAGGCCTAGATTTAAACCTCGTTCTAGTTCTGCTCTAGCTGTAGTCCTAGATTTAAACCTCGTTCTAGTTCTGCTCTAGCTGTAGTCCTAGATTTAAACCTCGTTCTAGTTCTGCTCTAGCTGTAGTCCTAGATTTAAACCTCGTTCTAGTTCTGCTCTAGCTGTAGTCCTAGATTTAAACCTCGTTCTAGTTCTGCTCTAGCTGTAGTCCTAGATTTAAACCTCGTTCTAGTTCTGCTCTAGCTGTAGTCCTAGATCTAAACCTCGTTCTAGTTCTGCTCTAGCTGTAGTCCTAGATCTAAACCTTGTTCTAGATCTAAACCTAGTCCTAGTTCTGCTCTGACTGGGAAATGAATCATTCTCTGAGGACTCCAATGACTTCAGCTGCAGTCAGTGGTGCCCAGAGCACACAACACATGGTTTTGGTTAAACAAAAGGCCCCACATACTTTTTGGGGCTTGTAATAGAGGTACCCACCCAGGAAACGAGCGGGAATCCTCCTCCAAATCACACTTCAGCTTCATTAACCGTGGCACAGCCAGGCTGAATAATTCCCCGAGCGAGCAGACAACCAGATGGCCGCGGCTTGTCCTGCCATGAGCGCAGCCATCAAGGAGAAGATGCTTCCCAAATATCCACATCAGGAGGGGATTAGCTGTGATCGTCCTCATCCAGCTGAATCCGAGGAGCCTTCCTGCCCTGCTCCGAGGGCGGGGGTGCTCAGCAGTCCTTGGCATGATGGATGCACGGAGCGCTTTGCTCGCTGAGCAGTATTTTTCGTGCCTTGGTGCTGGGTGCGTTTTTCAGGCTGTCTCCTGTGGATTTCCCTGCCTTCGGGCACTTAGGAAAGCAAAGGCAAACCTTCTTTTCTACACCCTCCGATGAGTCACCGGGGAGGTGACAGGAAGGGAACTCACGAGGATCAGTTCGACTAGTTCAGAACTAAAAAATATTAACAAGGGAGAGCTCTCTGCCCCAGATTTCTCTCAGAATCCTGATTCTGGAACGGTTTGGGTTGGAAGAGACCTGGAAAAGCTCTTTTGGAGCCCCTTTAGGTGCTGGAAGGGGCTCTGAAGTCTCTGGTTCCTGTCCTTCCTAAAGCCCCTCTACCGCTCCATTCCAGGACTCCCACCACAGCTCCACCATCTCAGTAAAATCAGACTTTCCTTGGAATTATTTTTT